GCCTGCCTGCAGCCACCAGCCCTGTCCCCAGCCCTGACATGGCCACCACCGCTGGGACCTTGAGTGATGTGGGGACGAGCCCTGCCCCAGAGAGCAGCCCAGGAGACTGGGGACAGGCAAGCACCCCTGCGACGCCGGTCAGCCCCACCATCCCTGCCACACCAAAGCAGGCCCTGGAGGAGGAGGACATCAGGAACATCATCGGTGAGTGCCTGCAGGTCCTGCACCAATCTGGCTGGGGACATGGGGGCTGGCTCGTGCCCATGGTGTGTCCTGCTAAGCACAGCCCAGCTGGATTTGATCATGGGTGGGAGGTGTTGTGGAGATGATGGGCTGGATAAATGTTTAACTGAGGTGCCAGATTTTACTTGCTTGTTAACTCTGGAACCTACTGTAGTACCCTTTCAGTTTGAGGGGCTGGGCACGGCAGGAAAGAGGCCTCCCCACAGATGGATGTGGGACAGATCTTGGTCAGGGCAGGGACAGGGCTGAGGCCATGGGGAGCTCTTTGAGGGATCCAGGTGGTGCTCCTGGGCCTTGTGGGGCTGAGCCCAGGCTGAGGCAGTGGGGGTAACTGCTGGGTGGGCAGGGAGCTGGAGGTGGGGGTGACGCCCGCAGACCCCCGGCAGGAGCATGGCCACCCTGCCTCAGGCCTCGCGAGCCTCTCTCTGCCCGCACAGGGCGCTGCAAGGACACGCTCTCCACCATCTCGGGGCCCACCACCCAGAACACCTATGGGCGCAACGAGGGGGCCTGGATGAAGGACCCTCTGGCCCGGGAGGAGCGGATCTACGTCACCAACTACTACTATGGGAACACGCTGGTGGAGTTCAGGAACCTCGACAACTTCAAGCAAGGTGGGCTTGTGGCATTCTTGATGCTGCCCCGAATGGTGTCTGGCTGGTCCGAGTAGCGTCCCCGTTCCCTGGGATGCTGCGCCATGGGGGGATGCTCTGCTTGGGGACCCTCCCCTCTTGGGCACTGGTACCTGGTGTGGGGGGTTCAGCGCATGGGGCAGGTTGGGCTGCCTGTGGTGGCTCTGGACTTGCTTGTCACCATGCCAGGCTGCAGCTGGTGGCTGGCGGGGAGGGG